TTTGAGTATATATTGCAGCATTAAGCGTTTAAGTGATTTTTAACTTTTATAAAAAAAAAATATAAAAATGTATGTATACGTATGTGTATATATATATATATATATACATATATATATATATATAAATGTATATCAAAATGTATATATATATGTATATACGTATATACATATATATGTATATACGTATGCATATATATATATATTTAAGTCAACTGAATAATAAATTAACGTATAAGATTCTATTTCCTTTGCTTTAGATTTTTTATTTATTACTTTTTTTTCATTTTAATTTGCATTTGACTAGTTGTGTATTTTAATTATTTAAACGTTTTCTCTTCTTCTTGCACTTATTATTGTTTTAATGGACGGAAATCGGTGAGCTTTGATATATGTTTATAACCTCGGTTCCTCGTAATAAACCTAGTCATGCACGTATTTTATATACGTAGAAGAGATTTGTAGTAAGTTTTTGTGTGTACATGATATCATAAATGATATAAAATTTATTATTTTATTGATTATTGGTTTATTTTTCGCTTCCTTTTCATTGAAGGTTTTCATAATTTAAAAAAAAAAAAACTGATTATATATAAAGCTTTGATTTGGGTTAGATTTTATGAAAAAAAAAAAATATATATATATAAAAAATTAAGAAACTTAGCTGCTTTAAATGGAAATATATATGTATGTATAGTTTATATATGTTTAACTTAAATTTTTTAGAGTTCCTTTAAGTTAAGTTAAGTTATACTTTAGGCGATAAAGGGAATTCAAGAAAGAAGAGACGAAGATAGAGAAACAGTTTACTGCCAAATTGCATCTATTAGGCCGAGTTTCGTTCTTGTTTTATTCGAACATAGCCCACAAAGGTATGGAAGATCGTTTCCATTTGCATTATAAAATAATAAATGTTAAGGACTGTAATTTCAAAAGTCAGAGAAGGACTAGACTTGCAGGAAGAGGCTAGACGGGTTCAGGGCAAGAGCCTTCAACTTTTTTTGAAGGGCAGAGGTAGTTGGGAAGATTGGAGATGCAAAGAGAATTAGTAAACTCGTACTAAAAGAGGCTGTGGTAGCTTAGAAAAAGTTCGATTCATTAAGAGACTCACCCGGCTACGGTTGCTAGAAAACGTTTAGTTGGCTATGAAAGGGTTTCATAGGGAAGAACTGGATTGATTTATAAATGCGCTAACTTTGTTAGAAGGCTGCCCGGGCAAACTGTAGGAAATGAGTACGCTAAGGATGTCACGGTAAGTTTGTAAGAAGGACGCTACATTTACTACGGAAAGAAGAATTTGGTTGTCCAGTTTCCAAACAACGCGGACTTTTTCTTTGTCTCTTCAAGAAAATTAAACATAGTATGGTTCTAAATACAAAACAATTTACATAGCTAATAATAGCTTTGAAAATAATCGATATACTTTTTACATATTCTCAAACATTAATTTTCCCAAGATCCCCTTTATCGCCCTAACATAAATTAGAAGATATTATTATTATTAAAAATTAAAAAAAAAAAAAAACCCTTTCAAACTAAAATCAACTTATAAAAGAAATAACTGTACGTATAAATTAAGCACCATTTGGATTCGACGCAATTAAAAATTTCATAATTCTATCTAAAAATAAGAAATTATAAATAAATTATATACTTTATGTGATGATTATATTTTCCCTTTCTTTCTTTCTTGTTTCAATAATATATTCACTGGGTGGTTGATTGGCTTGAGTTTGTATGTAATTCTATTTCTAATATTTCCTAATTTTTAAAGTAAAAAAGTTAATAAAAATAAAATCAGGAAAATGACTATTTTTAAGTGTTTGTGAACATAAGTTTCTTGTTCTTTCTTTTTTGCGTTTATTATACACAAAAAGTAAGTAAAATATTATCTGATAATGAAATGGCACAATTAGGAAAATTCGAACGGGTATTTAATCCAATATATTGGTCAACCAACAAAAAAAAAAAAAAAAACAACAAATAACAAACAAAAAAAAAAAAGGTAAAAGCAACTAACGCTTGCCAATTAAAATTAAATTAAACTAATTAAAAAAAAAAAAATATTTAAGATTTAAGTATGAAAAGAAAAAAAAGCCTTCCTTTTTTCCCAAATCCCAAATACATAATAAACTTCCAACTTAAGCAAACTTAAGTATTTATATATACATTTAAAATGAAAGCTTTTCAAATACTTTTGGTTCACTTAAATTCAATTAAAATAATGAAAGCATAATAATAATAATAGTAATGATAATGATAATAATACAATTAGACATTTTTAATTCTATATATATAATTCCTTAAATAAAAGCCCTTAAGCAAATTTCTTATTAAAGTAAGTTTTCTCCAAAAAAAAATCTATTCTGCTCTTTTTTACAAATCCTTACCCCTTTCCTGTTTAACTAGATTATACTCATTTTATGTATAAGTTTTAAATAAAATTGAATTACAAAACCGAACACTTAAAGAAAACTAATGCTAAAATTATATGAGAAGAGGAATGGAAACCATTGTCATAACCGCTGCTGCAAATATTCTGCGCCCAATAATATTCTGGTTGAAGACGGCAACAGTTTAGATAACCAAACGTATGTTATGTCAGTTTAAACTGTTAACCCTTTAGCATTTCTTTTCAAGCTTGGAAAGTTAAAATAAGAGTAACTACGTTGTTCATGTTTCTCTAAATCTGAGTATGTTGGCATCTTTATTGCATTATCCATAAAAATCAAAGAAGAAGAATGTGCCCTGGCATTAGGGAACATCTTCAAGCGTATAGTAACTTCAATCAATCTCGGAACACGCATGGCGAGTTGTGCAGCTGGGAGTAAAACTCCACTTAAATTCTAGCAACGACTACGAATTCAATTTAGTTTAAAATCTTGTGATTGATGAATGTTTCAGAATTTACATATAATAACACGGTTAGAAAACATATGACTTTAGAAGTTTTTGAGTAATTTTTTTTTTTGTAACACGATCAATCTGGACGTCCTATATTCGTGTAAAGTGGTGAGCAAATAGAAAGAAGCAAAGAATTAGGGAATTAGGGTGACCGCAGTCCAAAGGATGTGTGCCCATTCGGCCTTTATCGACTGAACGAACACTAGCTACGACTAAAGAAATCTCTAACAAGCTTAAGATGTGAATCCGCGAACACTGACTTGGTATAGCCGCAGTTCTTACCTATCCCACTACTCACTCAGGCAGATAATTGAAGCCGTATAGAAAATGCATGAACTCTCTATTAAGAGTTTAAGGTTTAAGGACTTTGACAATTGATCACTTCCTTTCTGATGCGAAGGAAGTGTGAAAGCGTAGAATTCTTATACAAAAAAGTGTAAAGAAATAGTTAACATAATTGATTTTATGAAATTATTTTTTCCTTTTCGTATCCAATAACAGGCATTTTGGTTGACATTAAGATCTGTTGGATCTCTCCATTTTGGATATAGTAAAAGAAAGTACAATGACTGTACACGCCGTTACAAATTATGTGCTGTTATTATTAATTTTTACTTTACGATCTATAAAAAGCAAATCCGCTCGCTTTGGAGTAAAAGGCAATAAGAGTTTCAAGCACATCCGGAATAATTCCAAAAAATAAAAAGATAAAGAAAACTAGAATCATTTAGTCTCCATACTCGCTCACATAAATTTGCAATTTTGATTGGCTTTGGCGAACTCAACTAAACCAACTAAAACACTTAGATTGTTTGAGAGATCGTCCACACCTCTGCATTGGGTAAATATCGCACCATGGTTATATCATTTAATATTATTAGTGTGGTTTCCATTCCGAGATAGGTGAGAAAGAAGTCATAAAAAGAATCAAATAGCAATCCAGCAAGAAAGAGAGATTCGTGTTAAAACGAATTTTTGAATTCTCCTCGGTACTTTTAAGCTGCTCATAACATACAAGTTTCGGTCAAATCTTAGACCGGAGTTTGCTCTACAAATTTGGCGTTGTTGTTAAATTACTTTTCAGTTTGAATAAAAGACTCACATCACGTGCTTGTGAACAACTTGACACCATTCCTGAAATTGTTCTGCGGATGTGTAACCAAGAGTGTGTACGTCGTACTTTACTTTCTATAGCTACTTTTAGCAAATAACGGACAGGCGGATATATCTAATTCGATTCACCTATTCTCGCGCTTTTTTGAAAACTAAGTTCTTTAGAACTTAGTTTTCCCGACCAGTACACCTAGTAGCTGCTAGCGTATTTGTGTCCCTTGGTGTGGGGCATAAAACTAAGAGTTCATTATTATAAATATAAATTTTGATAAAAGCTAAAAATCACTTATGCTTAACTTTTTTTTTTCTTTTCTTTTTTACAAATAAAATTAAGGAAAAAAATTGCTTAAACTTTTAATTCAATTTGAAACATTATTTTAAGAAA